GGTGGAAATGTAAAATAGTATGAGTGCTTTGGAAAACTGCGTGGCAGGACACCTAGATATTTACACAAGAGAAATGAAAGCAGGAATTCACAAAAAAACTTAACGATGCTTTTTTGTAATAGCCCCAATTTGGAAACAAGTGAAATGTCCACCAACAGGTGAATGGATAAGCAAATTGTGGATATCCATATAATGGAATACCACTGAGCAATAAAAAGGAACAAACTATCATACACACAAAGACATGAATGAACCTCAAAAACATGGTGAGCAAAAGAAGACAGACACAAAAGACTACACATGATAATTTCATTTATATGAAATTCCAGAAAAGGCAAAAACTAATCTATTGTGACAGAAGGTAGATCAGTGGTTGCCTGGGGCTGGGTGCAGGGGAGGGGATTGACTAGAAGTGGTTAACAGGGAAGTTTTGGGGGTGATGGAAAATTTCTATATTTTGATTGGGTGGTGGGTATAAGTATTTGTCTAAATTATCAAATTGTACCCTGATAATGTGTGCATTTAATTTTATGTAAATTATAACTCATTAAGTTTGATTTTTAAAAGACAAAACACAAGCTTATATTATGTCTTAGGTTCAACACATACAAAAATACTCTATCAACTTGCTATTAAAGTTTCTAAATGCTCACTAAAAAAAAAAGAGCTGATCTATTTCCCCAGTAACATTTCTCACATGACAATATATTAGAAATTGATATGCACATCTGGGTGCCTGGGTGGCTCAGTCGTTAAGCTTTCGACTCTTCATTTCAGCTCAGGTCAATGATCTCAGGGTCGTGAGATCGAGAGCCTTGTGGGGCTCCATGCCTAATGGAGTCTGCTTCTCTCCCTCTGTCCCTCCTACACACACTCTCTCTCTCTCAAGTAAATCTAAAAAAACAAAAAACAAAACAAAACAAAAAACCCCAAATACTGATATGCACATAAATAACTTCTAAGAAAAATATGTGCAGTACTGTAGCATAACGAATGTGATATCTATAGTAACTTAATATTAGCCAATTTTTAATATAAACGATATCACTACTTTTTTCCTGCTAATTCACAGGTTAAAAGTTGTCACTGGAGTCCTCTGTTTTGCACATATTACCTGCTGTTCAATACACAATGCAGATACCACTTTTATATATATATATATTTATATAAATACATCCAGGGATACATAACCTGAATATAATCAGGAGAAGACATCGGACAAACCCAGGGTGAGGAACACTCTATTATTTATATAAATACATATATTTTTACACTCAAGCCACAACTAGAATCTAGCTCCCAAGATGAGAGGCAAAGAAATACAAATAGATACCAGGCTAGAAATCCATAATCATAAAAATCCACCAATAAAAATGCTCATATTAGGACATAAACAGCCTGTCAAATGTTTTACACTTTGCAAAAGAATGCAGAAAGATTGTACAAGCATGTACATTCACTTATTAGTCCTGGTAAGAATGGATTGTTAGACAAATTAGAAGAGTTTGGCATTTTTATTTAAAAATGTTTAAATTTTTTTTCCTGATATTTTTCCAGTATGGAATATAATGTTTGAATAAAATTTTAATTTATAAAAGTCTTGAGTTAATTTTCTCATTGAAAATCTAATAATTTTTAGCTTCAGTATTTCTTCTACTGATTTTATTTGTCAGATACATTAAAATTCCTTCCAAAAATATTTGTTTATGTGAATGAGTGTGACTGTTGCTACTAGTTTGTCATTGTTTCTAAGCCCTCTCAGCTGGTAGAGCAAGGAAATTTATGTCCTACGTCCATATACTCACCTGGATCTATACAAATACCTGTAAGCATTTTTGCATTTAACCATCGGCACCTACGTTGAGCTAAACATGACTTCGTACTGATGTCTCCAGCTACGGTGCATGGATCCCTCAAGTCTTCTCCCCTTGCTTTTCTGTAATCTCCCAATTGGATAGCAAGAACCTGGCTCCCGTCTGCTGTCCATTTCCTTAGGTGTTCAATTCCAGCACACATAGAGTGTTGGTAGAACTGCTGACCACACTGCCATGAGAAATTACTTCATCAAGCAGAGTAGAGCATTTATTGTTCCTCCTTTTGTCTTTAGTCTTACAGACTCCAGCAGTTTGCAAGGTTACTTAGGTCAGCAACTCCCCCCACCACCCCCCACCCTGCACTCATATCCTTCAGCCCAGTACGCATCTCCTTCAGTGCAGGTGTTTCATAGTTTGTAATAGAATTCTACTTTTTTGCCATATTCTGCAGCCCATCCTGGGAATCCCTGATGTCCTAAGTGATTTTTAAAATTAACATACGTTATAGTTCACTCTGTGCTGCTATAAAGTGCTATGGGTTGTGGCAAATGCATAGTGTTGTTTATGCACCATTTCGGTATTACGGAATGATTTTACCACTCTAGAGAATCCTCTGTGCTTCACCAAATCAACACTCCACTTTCCCAAATCCTTGGTTGTCACTGATTAGTTTATTCTCTTTCTAGTATTGCCTTTTTCAGAATTTCATATAAATGAAAGCAAACGTAGATTTTTAAGGCTGGCTTCTTTCATTTAGCAATGCACATTTAGGATTCAGCTATGTCTTTATGTATCTTGATATCTCATTCCTTTTTAATTTCTGAATAGTATCGCATCATCTGGATGCACCACAATTTTTTTTAATCCATTTACCTGATGAAGGACATCTTTGTTGCTTCAACTATTCTCTGTCTTTGCTTTTTTTTTGCTTATTATTTGCGAAAAGGTTCTCAGGTGCCTGACTGGAATTAGATCCCTTCTTCTGTAGCAGCAGCCTGGGCTCTCTTCCACTTGAACTAGTACAATCCACTTAACATCTCTAAAAAATTGATATTCAATCCTACTTCCTCTTGTATACCTCATTTAAAATAATTATAAAAGGGTCAAAAAACCACCTTCTGAATTTTATGAGGTACAAGCACATTTAGTAGAGTCATTTACATTCTAGGCACTGAGTAACTTATGCAAAAATGTTTAAGATTAGCCAAAAAACTTTCCAAAAGGCAAATCTATTTTGAAATCTAAACATACCACGTCATTTCTTAAGTCATGAAGCCCTCACGTATACACACGTGCACACATACACAGAGGAAAGAACAATTTTGTCCAGGGAAAGGAAACTGAAAGGTTGAACAAAGAATAAGGGCAGACTTCTTCATTTAATCCTCATTTGGCTTCCACTTAAGTATTGGCAGCTGTCTAGGAGTTCGGTGACTATAACATTCAGTTGATAGAAAGCTTTCACTAAGATTATTTCATTCTCAACAGCCACTGGGAAGGCAGCATGCGGAATCATGACCCACGCAAGCCTATGGGCTTGGAGTCAACGCATGCCTTGTCTTCCATTACTTAGCCTGCATTTTATAACCCAGACAGTTAGCCAGACCATTTACTGGTCATCCAAAAACTTATTTTGCCCAAGAATTCCTCTTTGTGCTTCCAAACTCTAGTTTCTTTATAACCAAAATATTTCTACTCTCTTCTACAGCTGACCTTAATTTTACAGTTATAGAAACACAGGCCATGGGTTTGAATAGTCTGCTAGGGCTGCCATAACAAAGTACCACAGACTGGGTGGCTGAACAACTTACTTTCTCACAACTCTGGAGGCCTTGCACAATTTCTCACCATTCTGGTTTCCTTTGAGGCCTCCCTCCCCTGGCCTGTAAATGGCTGTCTTCTCCCTGTGTCATCACATGGTCTTCCTGCTGTGATTGTGCTTATCTGTGTCCTAATTGACCCTTCTTCACAGGACACCAGTCATATTGGATTAGAGCCCATCCTAATGACCTCATTTTAACTTAATTACCTCTTTAAACACCCTATCTCTAAATACAGTTACATGCAAAGATACTGGGGGTTAGAATTTTTACATATGAATTTGCAGGGGACACAATTCAGCCCATGACACTGGTAGATCTCATTGTCCTGAGTTAAATTTTGTTCTGTCACCTCCCATCTCAGAAACCCACCCTCCCATCTGGGGAAGTCTTTTTTTTTTTTTTTTTTTTAATATTTTTTTTTTTTTATTTATTGGACAGAGAGAGACACAGTGAGAAAGGGAACACAAGCAGGGGGAGTGGGAGAGGGAGAAGCAGGCTTCCTGCTGAGCAGGGAGCCCAATGCGGGGCTCGATCCCAGGCCCCTGGGATCATGACCTGAGCCGAAGGCAGCCGCTCAACAACTGAGCCACCCAGGCGCCCCTGGGGAAGTCTTTAAGGGGCAGTGGGAGTATCTGTGTGTGTGAACAATTACCATCTAGCCACCCTAATTCCTATTCTCATGGGGCTGAAACCACAGATGTTCCCATCCATAATCCACAGTGTAACTTTGGAAGAGAGATGAAGAAGAGAATTCACATAAACTGAGCACCTCGGTTTGCAAGCTTATGTCTTTTACATCCTGTGTTTCATTGAAAACTCTCAGCCTTATGAGATGGGTATTATTATCCCAGTTTTAGAAATCCAAAAAATGAACTCAGAGTTTAATTAGTTGGTCAAAAAGTCACACAATTAGTAATGAAAAAAAGAGTGATTATTAATGGTGCCAAGTGCTCCTCTTGAAAATCTGGCATAATCCGAAGACTTATTTTCCCCTCATGATGTTTTGGGAGATTCTCAAGCCTGTACTATCCATTGAAAGAAAAGTCATTTTCTTCTTGTTCTTGTTCTTCTTGTTCTTGTTCTTCTTCTTCTTCTTGTTCTTCTTCTTCTTCTCCTCCTCCTCCTCCTTCTCCTCCTCTTCTTCTTTTAATTTTAGTTAACATTCAGTTCAATATTGGTTTCTGGAGTAGAATTCAGTGACTCATCACTTACATATAATACCCAGTGCTCATTGCAACAAGTGCCCTCTTTGATCCATATTCCTACACATTTCCTTGACTTTTTTTTTTAATATTTGGATTTCCTGGTCCTGATTTCCCCTGTTCTGAGATTGCATGTGCCTCCCATTCTGCAATTTATTTCCCTACACCACCTGATCCACGGTTTTCTGGAGAAACATGCTAACTTCTAGGCTCTGGTAAAGAAGGGGTAAAATAAGGGAGGAAAGGATATCAGTGGAGAAAGACATCCTTCCCCACTTGTTCTCTGCCTTTCACATTGTAATCCTCCCCCTCCCCACTACACTCCCACTGAAGCCCTGCCTATTTTGATTCAAATCTAAGTCAGTCTTCATACCGGCCACCTGCACTATGGGTTCAGTAATTAGAAGTTGTGACTACAATTATAGCTGCCTTTCAAACTGTTATTTCTGAGATCCAATCTCGTTTCCACAAAATAATGACCAGGAAGGTCATATTCCTTCTATCAGAGCCTTTTCTGGTACAGAATTCATGATGCCAAAGGGAACTTACCCCTAAGAATTTGAACCACATTAAGGACATTAAGGTTTTAAAAAAACAAAACAAAACAGTCTACTCTGGTCAGAAAAATGAGTTCCTATTCCCACAAATACTATATGTAGACTCACTTGAACTTTTAATTCTAAACACTAAAGGACCTCTAGCATGATGGGAGCCTTATTCTAGCTGTGGGGGACCTAACTAACCATTCCACTCCAATCTTCAGATTGCATGTGTTCATTTGGTCTGCTGAAATCATGTTGATTAGGTAAACTGGAATAGCCAAGAAACTTGATCTGTATCTGTCCTCCCTGGAAGATTTGCCACTTTTTTTGCAAGAGAAAATTGGAGCATATCTATGCAGTAGGGTGAGCCAGTGCAGTGGACCTAGAGTTTACCTGGATGTCTGAGTGAAGCTGCCTACGAGAATGGGTGGTAGGGGTAACAAGTAAGGAATTTCTTCAAACTTATTTAACCGGGCCATGGGAGAAAAATTATCCAGAAAGGAAGATGAAACTTAAATCTTTACTCAATTAATGAAGCTCATCCCACTGCTGGTAAATGTGCTGGAATTTAATCAACTCAGATCCACATCTCTTTTGGATAGAACATTTGAGGCTAGGTCCTCCCAGACAAAAATTTGCAAAAAGCCAAGAACATGTCATTATGCCTTAAAAATATGATGGGGTATTATTGTACAGTCCACATTTCTCATTCTGACTATACTGTCCCCATAAGCTTGTGACTCTTAACTTCTGAGTAATTCAGCAAATCCATTCTTTCATCTTAAGCACATATTTCTTTGGGAAAGGAAGTGGATAATTCCCAGGTGGATCTGCTTAGTCTTTTTTTTTTTTTTAAATGTTTTATTTATTTATTCATGAGAGTCAGAGAGGCAGAGGCAGAGGGAGAAGCAGGCTCCCCGCCTAGCAGGGAGCCCGATGCGGAACTCGATCCCAGGACCCTGGGATCACGACCTGAGCCAAAGGCAGACGCTTAACCATCTGAGCCACCCAGGCGCCCTGCTTAGTCTTTACACTGTAAATGATGGGGTTCATCACAGGAGGTGCCAACAGGTAGATATTGGCCATGATAACGTGGACCAGTGGAGAGGCATGCTTGGCAAATCGATGAGTCATAGGAATTCCAACCATGGGAACATAAAGGACCAGAACAGCCAGAATGTGGGATAGATAGTTATTGAGGGCTGGGAACCGCTCAGTCCAGGAAACTGTGCCCAAGATACTTTTCAGGATGAATGTGTAGGAGAGCACAATGAGCAGAGGGTCCATCACAATAATGAGCAAAACCAGAGCAAATCCATACCAGCTGTTGACCCGGATGTCAGCACAGACCAGGTGGATCATATCCAGGTGGAGGCAGTAGGAGTGAGAAAGAAGGTGGGAGCAGCAAAAGGGCAGGCCCTTGAGTAGGAAAAGGGAAGGGAGAACAGCCAGAACACAGCGGCAAATGATGGCTAACCCGATCCTGCCAATGACTTTACTGGTGAAGATGGTGGCATAATGGTGGGGGCGGCAGATGGCCACATAGCGGTCAAAGGACATGGCCAACAGGACTGAAGATTCCGTGAAGGAGAATCCATGGAGGAAGAAGAACTGGGCAAAGCAAGCTTCAAAGCTGATCTTACGAATGTTGAACCAGAGGAGCTGCATGACTGTGGGCAGGGTGGTGAGGGTGAGGCCCAGGTCATGAGGGCCAGAATGGAGAGAAATAGGTACATGGGCTGGTGGAGGGATGGCTCTGTGTGGATGACAGCGAGAATGGTCATGTTACCCACAATGGAGATGGTATAGAGGCAGCAGAATGGGATGGAGATCCAGATGTGAGAGGCCTCAGATCCAGAGATGCCCGTGAGGATGAAGTAGAAGGGGGCTCGGGTGGTATTAGTTACTTCAGACATGCTTGTTGAATGCAAAACCAAAATCTGTGTGTTCCACAATAAGAAATTTTATCAGTGTGCTACTGCCATAGAATCATTATCTGTTCTTTAATCTAGGACCCAAATAGGTGTCTGGAATTGATTTTTTTTTTTTAAAGATTTAATTATTCATTTTGACAGAGAGAGAGAGACAGCGAGAGAGGGAACACAAGCGGGTGGAGTGGGAGAGGGAGAAGCAGGCTTCCCTTGGAGTGGGGAGCCCGACGCGGGGCTTGATTGATCCCAGGACCCTGGGATCATGACCTGAGCCGAAGTCAGACGCTTAACGACTGAGTCACCCAGGCGCCCCTGGAATTGATTTTTTAAGTTTTTTTTCTTTTAAGATTTATATTTATTTATTTGAGGGGGGAGGGGCAGAGGGAGAGAGAGAATCCGAGCATACTCCCCACATGGGGCTCCATCTCACAACTCTGAGATCATGACCTGAGCCAAAATGAAGAGGCAGACACTCAACCGACTGAGCCATCCAGGCGCCCCTGGAATTGTTTTCCATAAAACCATTGAGCAGTATGCTAGCCAGAGCAGTAGCAAACAATTATGGATTCTTTTGCCATAAATTTCTATTTAAAATAACCTTATTTTTCCAACTTTCATACCAACACTATGCACTAAAATTTAGCTTTCTGCTTTTTGCAAGCCTCGTAATACACTTTTATAAATGTACATGTACAAATAAACTTACAGATACTCATTTACTAACTGAAACTTTGGTCATCAACATTTCAAAAAATCTTCTAGTAACCAAATCAAGAGACTTTTTTTTAGTTCATCTTATACTAGACACACAGGAAAATAAGATTCTGGAGACAACCTCCTTCTATTCAGTTGGAAGTATGATGATGTCCAGGGGTCTTCTTTGAGCAGCAGTATGGATAATAGTGACAATTTTATTTTGGGCAGTAGAGTAGCAGGCACCTGTAGAGGAAGGATCACAGTTTGGTTTGTGCATGTTGAATTTGATGTTTGTAGGAGCTATCCAAGAGAAATGACGATTGGACAGACAGATATGAAGCCCAGCAGGACAGAGGAGAAATCCACTAGGGGTCTTGGAGTCTCTGGCATATTGAGGGTAACTGGGAATCTGGAAAATGATGTGATGATCTGGGCAAGAATTAGGGTGAGAAAGGAAGAAGGCAGAGGACTGATCCATATAAGGAAATGTAAAATTTAACATTTGTGTAGATGGGGGAGAAAAAGCAAACAATGAAGTACTGCTCAGAGAAGTGGGTGGAAAACAAAGGAAATGGGAGTCAGTCACAGAGGCAGAGAAGGTAAAGGGTGTGGTCACTACAGTTTAGTGCAGCTCAGAAACTCAGTAAAACAAGTGCTGGAAAGCATCTCTTCAGTTTAAGGATGTAAATGTCAATAGTAAGCTTTTGGAAAGACATTTCAGTAGAATGATGGGAAAAGCAGCCAAATTAAAGTGGCCTGAGGAGTGAATTAACAGGAAAGATTGGACAGTTTCTGAAGACCATGTGTTCTAAAGGGGGAGCTATACTGCCCCCTAGGGGGTAAATGCAGACTTGTATTTTTTTAAATAAAAGAATTTATATAATAAGAGTAAGTGAACAGTTATTAATTTTTGGAGTGTTCTAAGAAGGAAAGCTGTGAACTTTCTTTTGAGGAAATACACATAGCAGTTAATGGGTTCCTAGTATTCATGGTGTCTAACTATACTCCCCCGAAAGTGTCTATAAATGCCAAACTAAGAATACCTGGAAAAACATTAAACCTGAGACTTTAGAAAATAATGCAAAATAAAATTAGGGAAAATGGGGAAAAAGAAAATGAATATAGAGATGGGATTTTTGAATTAGAAAAATTAAAAAGGATAAAAACATTCAAAAATTATTTTTTGAAAGGATAATGTAATTTGAAACCCTTTGGCAAGTCTGACCAAGAAAAAGAAATACAGGCAAATATTTAGAAATGAAATGTAATGATAGAGCTAAACTCTAAAGAAATTGCAGAAACTAATGAGAGGTCATCTTATCACTGACCACCCATGGAGCAGTCCAGCCTCACCTTTGTGCTTTCTTGTTTCTTCAGGGCTTTCTGGGGCATCTGTTCTCTGCCTTGTGGCTGAGTGGTTATATGCTCATGAACATCCAAGCTGGAATGCAGGAGATGGGTGGGGAAACCTCTGGAAGGATCTTACACGAATATGAATATTGTGCCCTGAGACCTGAGGCCCTAAGGGACAGAACCAGGAAAAATAACTGTAATAATGAATATAATAGCTCCTAACATTTATTGAGTGCTCAGCATGTACCAACGACTGAGCTAGCTGACTCACAGAAATGTGAAGTTGTTATTAGGTGACATGGAAAAGACACAGTGAATATCCTGGCGGATTTTTTTCTCGGTGATTATTAGTTCTCTTCTGCTTACTGCTATAGGCTATGTGGTTTTGAGAGGGACTGCTTGTTGGCAGGATTGCCATTTGATGTTGTCACCTTGAATACAACCAAACTCAGATTTGATGCAGCTTGAAGATTTGGGGGAAGGTATCCCAGATCTCTTGATAGATTCAAAAGTCAGAGAGGCAAAATGGGATTTCTTCTTCCAGTGTCTTACAGATGTTAGCCTCAACATTGTACTTTCCTTCTTCCCCAGGGAGGCTGCCTCTCTACTCAGGCAAGAAGGGGCTGTGATGAGTGTCATCTAGAGATAATTGACCTAAGGTTTAATATGTGACTTTATTTAGCTTATACTTTTCTCTAGACAGTGAAAATTGGCAGCTCTTCACGTGTTCACTGTGAATGGCTCCTTTGTTTTCTATCATTGAAGGCACTGTTCTGCAAATGTGCCTTGTCTTTGTGATTCCTCCTGTATCTGGCCTACTTGGATTTTAGGATCTATTCTGGCTCCAAGGAATACCCACCTTTACACCATTTCCACTGTTTCAAAAGGAGATTATGATTATAGAGCAGAACATAAAGTTATAAATGCTGAGAATGTAGAAATAACACAATTTAGTTGAGATGGTAGTCTTACATTTGGGATGCAGTATTAGGTATATGATTACTCCATCTTTAGTAGTTAAGGCTTAAAAGACGTAATTTAAAATTGAAAACTGAAGTTTTAAACTAGACACTAATCAGTAGAAAGGTAAAATGTCAAAATTGATAAAACATTCACTATACTGATAATTCTTCAAGTTGAGGTTGAATGAAGAGTACATGGGGATTCTTTATAATGTTCTCTTTTTCAGTGTACTCTATTTGAACATTTCCCTAATAAAATGCTTTAAAATAAGATAGTAGGTAGAAGATGGTGGTGGACTGGGAAGTTCATTAATGTCATTATTGTTTATAGTAAGAGATTAGTAGATATTGTCTAAAAATAGAATATTAAATGTGTACTTTTTTGTATGGCTTACAAGATAAGAATTGTTTTTACATTTTTAAATGACTAAAAAACAAAAGACAATGACATTTTGTGGCACCGAAAATTATATTACATTCAAAATTCAGTGTCCATATATAAAGTTTTATTGGAATACACTCAGACTCATTTATTTATGTGTTGTCTATGGCTGTTTTCATACTACAGTGGCAGAGTTGAGTAGTTTTGGAAGAAGCCGTATGACCCACAAAAACCTAAAATATTTACTATCTGGGCTTTTGTAGAAAAAAATTGCCAACCTCTGACCTAATAGGAAATGGACATAGGAGATAAACAAATTTCAAAGAAATGAAAATATAAAATTTCTTGGTCATGTGAAAAGATGTTCAGTCTCACTTATAATAGAAAATAATTGAAATCAAATTGAGATAGTTTTTTTATGCATCCTATTAGCAAAATCCAAAAATGTTAAAACAGTGATTGGCAAAGGTCCAATAAAAGAAGCACTTCCACAGTTGCTGACAGGACTGTTAGTTAATAGGTATGACTTATATGGAGGTAAATGACAATACTGTATCTGTCAAAATTATAAATTCACGAAATCCTTTACTCAACAATTTAATCTGCTTCTATTCTTTTTTTTTTAAAGATTTATTTATTTATTTTAGAGAGAGAGAGAGCACAAACAAGGGGAGGGGCAGAGAGAGAGGGAGACAAGCAGACTCCCTGCTGAGTGGGGAGCCCCACAACACAGGGCTCCATCCCCATGACCCTGAGATCATGACCTGAGCCAAAACCAAGAGTTGGATGCTTAAACCAACTGAGCCACCCAGGTGCCTCAATTTAATTCCACTTCTAAAAATAAGTCAGTCAGAGAAAGACAAATACCATATGAGTTCACTATGAATTTCCCATATATGGGATTTAAGATACAAAACAATCATAGGGGAAAAAAGAAAAACCAAGGAACAGACTCTTCACTATAGAGAACAAACTGATGATTATGGGGTGGGATAAGGAGTGGGAGTGGGCAGGGAAATGGGTGAAATAGGTGATGGGGATTAAAGAGGGCACTTGTGATTAGCACTGGCTGATGTATGGAAGTGCTGAATCACTGTATTTTACACTTGAAACTGATATTACACTGTATGTTATACCTGGAATTTAAATAAAAACTTAAAAAAATTTAACATACCAACATATTTACATGTATGCAAATCGACATAGATACAAGATTATTCATGATAATATTAACAAGAAAGCAAAAAATGGAGGCAAGCTAGATATTCATCAACTGGGAACTGGTAAATAGATTCCCATAACGTGCAAAGTACCAGAGTAGACACAGTGGAATGTTAGGTAGATGAAAACAAATGGTTGTGCTCTTCACGTACTGGTTATGAATGGTCTCAAAGATACATGCTTATATGAAACATCAACTGGAGGATAGTGCACAATGTTCACTGGGGAAACGTATAAACACACATAATTTCCTGGTTATATATAAATGCTTTGTATGTATGTGTGTGTGTGTGTGTCTGTCTCCTTTTACTTTTTTTTATGTTCAAATAGCCAACATATATAAATGCTTCTCTAAAGAGAAATGTAATACAGTGAAAGTATTT